GAAGCAGACTTGCCACACTGTTTAAAAAACACAGTATTTCCTCTGAACACATTGGAGTTCAAATGCTGCAAAAAAATCATGAAGGGCAAGTCTCAGCAAAAATATTTCTTTGGGGTTACACCTTCCTCTACTAGGAGTCTTACCAACATCAAAGCAGTTAGTTACTTGAAGAATAGTGAAAACAAATTGTGAAGAACATAACTGTATTAAGACTTGAGCCTCACACTTAGTTGCTACATATGCTTTGGTGTACTGGTAAGGGCTCTTCAAAGAGTTATCTTCTTAAGCTAGACAAGTCAACAAAACTAAGGTCAAAAACGCCAACAAGGAAGGGAACAGGAAGCAATAACGAGAAACAAAAAAGGCTTTCTGGTGCTTGGGCATGAGAGCTTATAGAGGGGATTGAAGAGAAGACCATGCACAAGGCAGATGATGGCATCCAGGTTGCGTTTCCACAAGCAGCAGAATTACGGAAAGGGTCAAGTCATGCTGTGGATACATTGTAAAATGGAAGAAAATCCAACAGAATGTAGGTAAAAATATAGCTGGCAATCAGATTATGAGGACTCTTGAATATTGAGATATGCCCCAATCTGCAGCACAGGGTAAATATAAAAACTGGAACCACTGCACGTATGAAAAATTAAAATGATGGTTCTGTTCATATATTGTTAATCCTAATACACTATTGTAATGTGTGAATATTCCAACACCTACCAGCTATGTGTCAAAGGAGGTTTCTTTCCACTGTACCTAGCATGAATGTGCAGGTAGAAACCTGCACCCCAATTCCTGAGAAGCCCTTGACTCCTTCCAGGACATGGGTACACTCCTGAAGTCTATCAAGATAAAGGTTAAAAAGTTCTTACTACAATAGGGCACAGAGCTGTGGAAATATAAAAGGCATCTACAGTTGGTGCCCAAAATGTAACCCCTTTTCCAGCGCCAGGTTAGGGCTTGTGTTTCTGTGTTTCAGCTTGGTGCTAGTCAGGCGGGGGCAGGGGTGGGGGGGAGCGTGAATTTGAAGACAAACTTGGGATAAAAGAATAAAGCACTGGAGAGCCACCCTATTTGGCCTCCCACTGCCTCCCAGATAACCTGGTAAGTTGGGACAGTCTGGCAAATTTATGTTTCTCTTGCATAAAACAGTTGCTCCTCAAGGTTGCTCAAGACAACCTTCCCAGACAGCCCTTAATCTGTCTCTTTCCTTCCTGATTCAACAAAATTTGACTCCAAGTTTTCCTCTAAAAAGAATCTTTTTTCAAAATGTGCATCAAACAGGGTTTGTGAGACTCAGTTTCCTTTTTTGTTCCATTCCTCACGACTGAACTCTGTGACAAAATATGAGGAAGAAGGGAGTTAATTTTCCCGTGTCATTAGGTGATTAGATGTCTTCCAACTCTCCAGTCTTTCCAATTTCCTAATATTTTATTCGCAAATCTCTTCTACCTTTAACTGTCTGCTCCTGTTTGTATAATTTTCAAGACTAGTAAACATTATACATCTTATATCCCCCAAAGAGATTATTATGCAAACGGCTCCCGAGCACCACGGATCCTAGTGAGCTCCTGACATTGTACAGATATGCCACATTAACATAACAGAAAACAAATCTGAGACAAAGAGATGCGAACTATATAAAGATTCTCCCTCTTAAAACATCAAAGCTGTGCTGGGGCATTTCTCTCTGTTTTAGGGGAGTGAAGAGCACTGACAACAGACAGTTGCTGCTGCAGATGGTGGCTGTGAAGCAGGTAAGAACACCACAGGATCAAGCCCAAAGCAAACGTGATGCTATTACCACCTCTTTGGTAAATTTAATGAAGAAAGGCAGGAGGTTTAAATAAATATTTTAAGGTCAGTGGTTGCTTTAGATTTTTGTTCCAAAGAGCAGACATGCAACAGGAACAGGAGAACATAGCTAAGCATCATCTGTCTCTGATATATGGAAAAGATGGAAATATTTAATGAGCTGAAAAACAAGTCAGAGTTGCTCTCAGAAATGATGGCAGATCAGTGCCAAGAGGCAAAAGCAGGAGATGCAATGAAAAAAATCCAAGAGCTGACAGCATTAAAGGATCAACACAGACGACTGACAAAACAGCAGTTAGGAGAAGAGGAAAGTCAAAGCTCCCATTTCTGGCACTGGGGAAATGCCAGCTGAGCCAGGGCTTCCAGTATCGCACCTCCCCAGGGAATCACTGCAGGCTCAGATGCTACACAACAGTCATCCAGAGACAGGAAAGTCAATGACGTAAACCTGGACTCTTCCTCCACATGTAGGAACTGTGTTTCAGGCCAAATCAGTATTGCTACCAGTAACATGTGGCAGGTAAAATGTTGATTAATGGTCTCAGCACCTCATCCCACCTGCAGGTACATGAAGATGTGCTTCCCAGGCCAGATGATCTGCTCTTTTACAGTTAGGGCTTAGATGATCTGCTCTTTTACAGTTAGGGCTTTCTTTGTTTAGCTACGTTTTGCTTTTAATGAGAAAAAAAATAAAAGGTTTGTTTCAAATGAAGGTTTTAAGAAAAAGTACAGAACAGGATCATTTGGAAACCTATGGCGATGCTATGCCATCGCCCTCAGCAAGCACAGCTATGCTAATAAGCTCCCTAAAAATGCAGCTGCTGGATGCCAAAACCAGCAATCCATGTCCTTGCAAAGAGCTCAAGTGATGGGGATTGCTTTGATACTTTAAGCCTGTTGAACAGACTGTGCAAGTCATGAGGGTGCATGTTCTTCATACCAGCCTCATACTTAAAAGCAATTCTCCTTCACTCCCATGACATGGTGCTACTCCCAGCAGATTTTGCTGTCTCACGAGAAATCAGTCCAGTGGTATTTTCTGTGGTTTATATGGCTTCCCACAAGCTGCATGCCAGAAGGAATGAGGCATTTGAACAAAGGGTGGCGATTTCAAAGATCCCCATAGGAGTGACAAATCAGCAGGCTGCCGTAAACGTGGGAGGAATAAAAAGATCTAAATAGGGTTAAAACAACCAGGGACCTGCTTACATTAGGCAGGGACACAGCTCAACTGGCCCAGCAAATTGGCCTGGTGCAAGCCAGGACTAGCAGTTCCAGCTGGTAATTATTTTAGTGCCAGTTTCCATCATGAAGGCAGGTACTGCTAGTAAAGAAGAGGAAACATGAACGGGCTGCTCAGGTACAAGATGGCCATGAAATCCGAAAGGGAAGGTAACAGTCAGAGTTCGTAAGGGATACCAAAGGGAGATGGTGCCAGCTCTGTTGCTTAGGTCTTGAAGGTACCACCTCAAGAAGATGGAAAAAGAGGAGCAACTGTGCACTATCGAGAAGATGATTGGATGCACGAAGGGCCAACTCAGCCCCTCACATGAAGCCAAAGAGAGTGCAAGAGCAGTGTGAGCTCCCCTGCTGCCATACAAAGCGTCTTCCTCATGGTGCAAATAGGCTAAGAGGCATATGAAGCAGCTTCACCACAAGGCCAGGGTCCCTCTTCCACTAACCCCTGGGATGAAAACAACTTCTTTCCCTCTTTCACACAGTCCTCCAGTGTTCATCTTGTTCTGGTTGGCCAAGATTTTGCAGTTTGGTAATGTTTCCAAAGAACAGCAGGGTTTCGGTGTGGCTCTTCTTGTCCCCCTGTTGTCCCTATGTCACGTCGCTGAGTCAGATTTAGATAGCCGTCATGGAACATAATGCAGCTACAACCACACACGAGCAAACCCCATTTCAGGATACGGCAATGGAGCTGTGCGATCGCACTGTCACAAGCTTGTGCCTGAGCAAACCCTGGTGAGAGCAGTTCCCATGCTTTATTTTTATTTTATTACTCATGTTACTGCCTAAACAACTCCTGTGGCTGCTTTTTGCTAATAAGGATATTCCAAAGGTTTATCGAATGTTTCCAAACATTTGACTCAAAGGATACGGAATGTCAAAATTCAACATGGAAATCTATTGCTTACTTAAATGCTTTGATCTTGCGCAGGGCTAAGAGAAACACGTGGCTTTGATATGATCTGAAATTGCTACTGGATCTCTAGCAGAGCTGAAAGTTGTGAAATGACCCGTCATAAAAGCACTAAAGAGAATAAAAACAGTGAATGAGGTGGGGTGTACAAGGACCAATCACACATCCAAGGCCCAGTCCATCCCTACAACAGGGAAACACAAGAAAATCTTACTTGAAGTTGGGTTGAACTCAGAGAAAGAGTTTTAAATCTCAGTAGGATTAATATATTAGCCAGCCACAAATATGGTTCATAATTCAGCATTTCTGCAAAAGGAGATCAGATTGCCCGAGACAGGCTTTCCAACATTTTTTCCAAACTTTTCAATGCTCATAAGCATCTTGTGAGTCTAAGTCCCATCTGCAGAAGTAACCAAAGCTTTTGAGAGACCAGCTCTCAAAGAAAGTCAGTCAGTGAGCCTAATTCCCAAACAGCCAAAAAAATCTCTTTAGAGGAATTTGCTGAGTGACTAGAGTAATTTCCTGGTGAGTATACAACACACCTCAAGGACGACTCATTTTCAGGCAGTTTTGAACACCTCTTTCATCAAAATCAAGTTCTTATAAATGGTGTCAAGTTGAACAGCCCAAATCTATGATGCTGAAAATGACAGATCACTAATGGCTTATATAGATCTGGCCCATAATCACACAGATCACTCAGTTTTGAAAACACCACTTCTTCTGCAGTTTAGACGATAGAGGGAGATCCATAGAAGCCAACCCACACACCTAATTCACAATGAAATAAGCTACACAAGCTGCCTTGTCTTATCCAATTTAGGTTTTATCTAAAAGTTGGGCATCTAGTTCCAGACTCCTTCCATCAGAAATAGAGAGAGATAAGGGTGGTAAGCAGCTAAGAAAATGGAAGACCTTTTCATTAGAAGAGGTTATATTATCAGATCTCCTCTTCGGTAAGCACACATTTAGATTTGCATATCAAAAAAAAAGTGCCTCAACTAAGTCTAATTGGGTTAAATTATTCTAACCATCATCTTTTCACCATAGGACCAAAATATCTGACAAAACTCAGATCTCTGAACTGTAGACAGCAATTTAATCTGTAAGGTAGAGTCTTAAAAAGTAATGCTGTAATGTTCTGCCTGTTACACACATTTCAGATATATTCTAATTGGATAAGTAATACTTCTATTTTCAGAAAGAAAACTGGTATTTATTAAGAAGATTAATTATAATTACACCCTTACTTATTTGATGAATTGCTGAACCACATAAACAGGAATTTAGTGTCTCCAGTACCACTGTTCTTTGGACCCAAAACTAAGAAAAGTTGAGTTAAAAACAGAAACCCAGAGTTGAAAGTATATCCTGATTAGGGAAATTAGATAGAAATGATGAGGGTCTTGCATAATTGCAAATGCTTGCAAAGGGCAGCAGACCTGAGCTAAGATCAGGTCAGAAGCTTGTCCAGCACTTTGCAGAGCAAAAAGCATTTCTGGAGGTAAAGAAGTACAAACAGTAGCAGATGTTAATGACTTCTTAAGCGAGCTCTGGTCTGTTTAGCATGTGATAGGTGCCTAAATTTTTTCCAGGAATTAAAACCCAAAGTGGTTAAACTAGCAAAAATAATTAATTCCTGATCATATCTTAGAAAATTAGATGCTCTACAGATCTTTAAAGAAAAGTCCCAGGATTGATGGATCTCTGAGTGTTACTTCAACACTAGGTAAAATGGATGGAAAAAAAACCTCAAAAACATTTGGCAAAGAGGACACTTCATGGGTCAACACTGTGACCCGTGTCTGCCCCAATCCAAATGAGGACACGTATTCATGTCGTGCCGTTAGAAGGAAGGGCTCTTACATTTATTTGAGAGCATCAGGCAGGTGCTGGAGGTTGGAGAGAGACGCTGGAAGGCACGGAAGCTTTTGGGTGTGGACAAATTGCAGACCATGTATGCAGAAGCCATGTCATCGAGTATAACACTCACAGAAGTCCATTTGTGGGCATTGCCACAAAAAAAAATTTTCTGTGCTTGGAAAATGTTGTCTGGGCAACCAATTATTATTTTTTTTTTAAAAGGAAGCACTAAAGAGGAGCCGTCTCCTTTGCAAAGAAAAAATAAAATAAATGTTTAAGGAGATTTTTCTTTGTGAGAGAGGGGAAAAACTCCTGTCAGCACTTCAGCAATAAGCAGCCGTGACCTCTTGAACCATATGAGTAAATCCTGCATTCAGTAAGGTAACAACGGGTCTGGAGGCACTTGTGTGGCTATCAGCACCCAGACCATGAGTAATGAGAGCTCTCAAACATCTCTCAAAGCACTAAAATTCGTGTCACATGCTCTGAGAGCTTCCTCTCCAAAATAGCAAGTTTTCTTATGTAAATGGCTACGCAGAGAGGCCATATGAGATCACTCTGTGCCCAGGCAGAGCTGCACTCCCTCATCTTCATCAGCACTTCAGCAAACGTCATCTGAGCTTCCCTGCGTCTAGCAGATTCACTGTAGTCAGTGCCCATTTCAGAACAAAATAAAACATGTTCATTAAGGACAGAAGAGCTGACAGCAGAAATTATGAAAATTGCTGTCTCAGCTCAATTCCTGCTAGTGCTTTGGAAGCAGATTTGCAGTCTGGTGTGATTACAGGAGACAGCTATTTAGGCTGTACGGAGTGCATCCTGACTCATATGTCTTAAAATAAAAAAAAATGTTAGGCTGAAAGCTTCACAATGGGAAATCAGAGAAATCTGTTCCTTTATCTGATGTTATTAGGATAGAGTGTGCCCGTGCGATGTGAAGATAATCACTGGAAAAAAGGTATTCCTGGGACAAATCTGGATCACTGTGTCATAATTGTACCATCTGTCTGAGTTCTGGTATCATGGTATCATCAGAGCTATGAAAACACACATGAGGTGGCAGCTGCAAAGCAAAAGGTGCCTCTCTCTGATGGCTGGAACACGTCAAGTCTTTCCTACTGGAAAGCTGTGAGGCAAATCTATCCCAGGGGAAGCCACTGTCATATTAGTTTCATGGATTTCAAGGATACTTCAGAGAGAAATTTTACCATCTCAGCTGACTAGCTTGGAATCACAGAATAATAGAATCATAGAATGGTTTGGGTTGGAAGGGACCTTAAGGATCATCGTAGGAAATCACTGTATCGTAGGAGGTGCAGGCTTGCTGGATCTGTCTCATGCATGAAGTGAGACTTTTAAACAGTGTTTGCTTAAGTAGACTCTATCATCACCTGCCACATAATTCTCATAATTCAGTTTCTTTAACTTTTTTTAAAGGATGCTGGTAAACGCACTGCTAATCATAGCCTGGTACAATCACTATTGAATGGACAAAATACCAAAGAATAAATGAGGAGAAACAATTTGATACTGTCCAGGAAGGCTTGGGGATCTAAAGAGGTTTTGCATACTGACGTCTAGGAGTGAGTAACTTCACATGGTTTTAACAGAGGATTACTGAACATGTCTGAATAAACGTAGCTCTTTTTTTACTGTCTTCTATCAGGAGAATCTGGCAAATACTATTCTTTATGATTAAAATAAGATGTTACAGTAGGTAAAGCTTCTTGATTTTATAGGTGCTTATAGAATCGATGCATTGGAGGATGTTTTTCACAGACTCTTAATTTACCTACAGGCAGTGTGTTTGAGAAGACATATTTTGCAAAGAATTAAAATAATTAAAATTAAATCCACACTCCCCAAGCTCATTGCAGTATCAGAATCCAAAGCAGAAGAGCACCCAAGACAGCGCACCAGTAACTTCTGAAATTTCTATTTTTAATGAATATCTTTAAAATCTTGTGTGCACCATGTAGAGGCACTGGAAAATAAGTATTATTTCCTTTTCAGTATGTGTCTGTATTTCAGCTGGGAAGAGTGGACAGCCAGGATAATCAAACCTCTTACCAACATAGCCAGGAGTCCCGCAGGCTGTGGACATCACATCTCCTTTACCCTCCATCTTTGACAATCCAAAGTCACTGATCATGATTTTTGACTCTTCATCCTGGCTGTAGTAAAGTAGGTTCTCAGGCTAGAAAGAAGAAAAAGGGCTTTGAATATGTAAGTCCAGTAACAGCATCTGTTGCCTGATGCTTTGCATTTAATACAATCCTTAGTTACATCATATGCTAATATACTTTGGTTCCCCTAAATCCTAAAGAGTTGCTCCTACAATCTATATGGAGATCATCTCCAGACTCCTATATGGAGTCTAATAGAAGGAGATGACACCTTGAATTTTGAGTAACTTTCCTGGGATAACAAACTTCTCCTTTGGCACCCCAGATAAGAACTAAGGCTCATCCCTTACTTGTGAGATGTGTCTGACATACTATCACTTCAAAGTGATAAAACAGAAGGATTCATTTGAAGGCAGGTAAACATAGTAAATCTGGGTAGTGTAACAAAAAAAGAAATTATACAGCATTTAAAAAAAAAGAAAAAGGAAAACAATAGACATTAGAGAATTTTTGTATCTTCTCCACTGGAAATAAACTGTTATGAGAGAGGAAATACCTCTACAGTTAACAGAGTTGCAGCAAGGATGTTTTAGCTAGAGTCGATTAGGG